TTAGACATAATCAAGCATTTTAGTGGATATTGGAACTGCTAATGGAATCCAAGAGTATTTTATCATGTCATTATAAGATTAAAAGCTTTTTTCCAGTTACATTAGTAAAGCCAAAGATTAGAAGATCAGTACATACCTTATACTTTAATAAATATGCTTAATTTCAAGCAGCAACCCTTCATTTTATAATTTTATATTGTTGTATAATTTTTAATATAACATTAATTTTTAGAATCTAAAAGTATTGGGTTTTGACTTTTGAAAAAAATATTCCTAATTTATGCTTGTCTGTCTACCTACTTAAAAGGAGGAAAACCAAAGTGCAAGTTCAGGAGACTGGATGAGGAACCATTTCTGGGGCAGCCTCTTTCAAAACAAAATATAATTCTGCAATGACAAGCTGTAGAAGCAGAAATTATCCTTCAATGGACTCATTTTGTTAGTTGAAATGCTGCTTATACTGAAAAATGTACTTAGGTCATATTATGATTCTAAGTGTAAAGCTTCTCCCTCCACCCCATAGACTGAAACTTCAAATAGCTCCTGTAAAGCCTGTTAATTTTAAAATACTTTGACTGACTTGCTATTTATTAACTGTACATCATTTGGTAAAAAATCCTGGCTAAAAATCTATAGTGCTTTTCAAAAACTATACTTCTATATTGAGCTTTCAGGTAATAATAGTTTTACAGGCATGGTAGGGAAAAACGGTTTCATTTTTTTCTGTGAGTCCTTCATTACAAATTAGCACACACACATCCACACGGAACTGAGCGGAGATGTTGGGATGTCTGTAGACACATCTATTTTACTGAGTCACTACCAAAGCTCATTTCATCTTCTGGGGTATCCTGAGACATTTCTGAAAAGGACCATGTGAGCCAGAACATTTACCATGAGGCTTACTAATAAAAATAAATTGTGTGTAAGTAGCCATTTAGAGTTTATACATTTGAACTATCCCTAACTGTTTTTTTCTGATTTGATTAATAGTTACATTACTTTTGTCTTTTCTTATCTATGTCTGTGAGGCAGCAGCTAAAGTCTGAGAATGAGTACTGAGTTTTAAAGTAGTCATAGATAATGCTCATGTTGGGTGAATGTTGTGGTTTATTAAATCTCTTTTTCTTTTCTTGTAGTGCCATTATTGTTTAAGTAGAATGTAACAGTATTTGGGAAATTGTTCAGTAGAATTTTTTTTCTTAAAATACTAAGATCTTTTTTAGGAAGTAATGAAAAGATACATACAAAGGTTCTGTTTTCTCCTCTGGATTTTAATTTTACATTTGAGTTAAACTAATCTTATTGATCTACTTCACTAGAACAGACATGACCTGTGTTTTAATATGACACAGAACTCAAAGACTTCTGCCTAGAGAAATTTAGAGTAGAGAAAAATGACTTTTAGGATTAAAAACCAGTGTTACAAAATACTTAGTCTGAGTTATTTAAAACTCAGGTACAGAGCAGAGAGGAAAATACATGCAGCTAAGTTTAAGTATATGGCTTTATGGTTTCACTAGCTAGGCCTAAGAAGTCTTGGCTAAGTTCTCTCTTATGGGGTCTTAGACTCTCTTGTACTTTAATGCATATCTCTGAAGGCAAATTGTTGTAGTGTAGAACATTTTCTGTGATTATATAATTTTCATGAAAGTACAGTACCTTAATTTTGATAATGAAAGGAATTTTCCTTTGAGAACTTGGTTTACTGTGAATTTTAAAGCCTGTCTGCGGGTGAGATTTATTTTAATCCCTTGAGTATTTAATAAGCATTCCTGAGACTGTCGCCAAAAGGTGACAAGATTAGCACTTGAGGTTTATTGACAGGATGTCTCATAGGAAAGACATTTATCTGTAAGGGTATTGTTTTAAAAGGAAGAATAAAGTCTGGCTTAAGCTCTGGGAATATACACACTTTCTAAAATGCAGAAAGAATGGAGCAGTTTCTTTTCATCATGGCACAGGGACATAGCAGTTTGCAGAGGTAAGAAATCCATGTTGGGAAAACTTCGCAGTGACTAGCTTCCTATCTGAAGAAAAATGTAAGTGCTTGAGGATTAAGAAAGTCTTAACAGTCCCTGTCATAAGTTGAATTCAGGCATGCTCAAAAGTCATTACTCAACAACAGCATTGTATCCTTACACATGTGCTTCTACCCAAATATATATCTGTTGGAGAATGACAGAGGTTACTAGAGGGTTTGTTGTTCTTTCTTGGTTTAAAAAACCCAGGAAGAACTAAATCATATCTTATATTCCAAGATTTTAGCATCTGAGACTGCTCAATCTCTTTGTAGTGTCTTTGAGAGAACTCTGTGATTAACTGGTCATAAAGTCTTGTCTGTATTAGCAGGGCTCTGCTGCTCCTGTGCCCATCCCAACAAATACTCTGTGGTACTGAGTCTACTTTCACATACCCCAGTGTGGTCCTGTTCCCTTCAAAGTATTTCCTTCAGGTTTATATACCACAAATAGAAGAATAATCAGATCCTTTCCTCTTACTTTATCTATGGACTATGCATTGAACAACTTATTTTAAAGCAGTTGTGATTCAATAGGGATGTTTTTAATTTGCTGCCTGTTCTCTTTACCTCTGAGGAAAGAATTTTGTAAATGCTGAATAATTTTAGAACATGTTTTCTTGGTTAAGGGTTGGATCATATTTTAAATTAGTTTTAAGAGGAAGGAAATCGTGTAAATGCTGTGGAATTCAGATAAGCACTGTGCATAGGAAATAAGTACTTTAATTTAGGGTGCCTAGAATTGGTAGGTCAAGCTGATGATAATAAAGGACCAGATCTTAGCTTTGTTTCAAAGAACATGTAATCAATATTCACTCTCCTGTTTTATTTCTCTTTTACTTGAGAATTTGTTTTTGTGAAGCTGAAATGTGCAATTGCTTAAGTATTCCACAGGGTGTCATGAGGTAGTTGTTGGAATCATTAATACTTGGATGAAGTAAAGAAAGAAACGTAGTGTGCAGTCCTCTGAATGCCAGCTAACGTAATTTTAGATGTGACTAATACACATGCCATAAAATAAAAAGTTCTTAACTCATTAACACATGTATCATATTGCTGTATCTGTATAAAATATACACACGAAGAAAAATATTACAAGAGGTCATTTACAAGAGTGAGCTCTTCTGTGTCAGGTCTTCCCAAAGAACCCTTTCTATATATTCCTTAGTATTTTATAGTTTACACAGCAAGTGGAATCTTTGGCTCATAGCAGCAATCTGACATACAAAACTATTTATATAAAAAAAGAAAAAAGAGAAAGAAAAAGAAAAAAAGGTATAATACTTGTATTTGCTGTACTGTAAAGAATTTCTAATTGGAATGTTGTCCTCCAAATTTACTTACAAATTTAATTTTAATTTTTATTTAAGTTCTTTTCAAATTTAAATTTATTTAAACACACTTCATGCAGTGCACACTGTGGATTTTCTGACCTGTTAATTATAGATATATATGATGTCAAAACTTAACTTCAGGGTTTTTTCCTGCACACATATAATGTAGTAGTAGGAGAATTTTTAGCAAGGTGTGCCCCAAATTAGTGTGTTTGATTATGGTGGTAGATTTTTGGATATGAAGATCAAATTTTTATTGGCATAACTGTTGACCTCTGCAGAGCTACACACAATAAATTCAACTTCAGGTTTGTAAAGAAATCTTTAAATACAGTTTAACAGTAACTATAAGAGATCCTTCTTCTGTTAAAATCTGAGTTGTTTTAAATGGAAGTGATATTGGCTATGAGAAAAAAAATCATTATGTTATGAAATGAACAGCAAAACATCATTTCAGTAGGAAGAGAACGTGATCCAAAGTGGAAAATCACTAATGAAAGTAAGATTCTGAATCTTTATTGACAGTAATAATTTGTCTGATTTTGTCTACATATTTTAAACCAGTTTTGAACAGATGACACTGTATGGATTTTGGTATATTTTCTCATATTATATAAAGTGGCATACTAAAATGATAGACTAGTTAATTTTCTTGTTACTATTTATTTGTGCAAAATCTTGGGTTTGTGCCAGTGGCATAATAGTGAGTGGCACTGAGAGTGTAGGATGAAGGGAGTTTAATTCTTCTGACAGACAATTAATGACATTTTACATCTATGACATAACACGTGTCCTCTCTGCATTATGTCCAGGAGGTCACAGTGCCTCACAACCATGGGAAGGGATTGCCATGATAATCAGCAACTGAGTGCTTTTATTTGAGTTTACTTCCCAAATCCACATCATCAAGTGGACAACGTTTTGTGCAAAACCTTTCTGATTTAACCACTATAAGTCACGACCAGTGTGTTTGTATGTACCTTGGCGAGACGCTTAAATACTTTCTAGAGGAAGAACCTGACATGTCTAAAGCAGTTAAAATATCCAAAACAGAGTGGCATACTTTAAAACTTCATGGAGATGTAGAAAGTGAATGGAAATGGTGGCTTTTGAGGTTTTTAGTTTGGTTTTGTTTGTTTCTGGTTTTGGCTTTTTTGAAGTATAAACACCCTGATCTCTGTCCAGGTGAGTTTTCTTTACAGCAGGGCATCATGGCAGAAGAGGTTTTTAGATAGGCAGGTTATCATCTTTCCTCTTCCTCAGTTTAAGGCTCACTCGACTCGCTTTGCCTCGCCCTTTCTTTGTCCTTCTTATTGAGCTAGAATAATCTAAAGGGGTAATTCCAGGCATACTTTGAATTACTGAGATAATGCAGTACCTTAAACTAAAGTGATTAATATCAGAAAATACTTAAATAATAAAATACCTGACTTCATTGAGATTTTTCCTATAATTTATTAAAAAAATTATACTTGTTTAGCAAAGGAAAACAAAATAGAACGGACAGAAGCAAAAAAACTATTGATATTATAGCAGGTACAAACTTGGGAGTATCATATGTGTGATATGTATACACTCAGCACCCAAGTTCCTCTTGGAATGTTAAGACAAGGTTGATGAATATTATAATCTGTTTTTATTTTCAGATTGAAAATCTACAGGAGCAACTTAGGGACAAAGACAAACAGCTAACAAATCTAAAAGACAGAGTGAAGTCGTTGCAAACGGATTCCAGTAACACAGACACAGCACTGGCAACCTTAGAAGAAGCTCTATCAGAAAAGGTAATGTTTTGTCATGAACAGCATCGTGTGCTGCTCTTGTGGGGGAACTGTGGGCAGAAAGTGTCTTTTTAAGTTGGTCTGGCACCTGTCACAAAACCTATGGGCCTTGTCAGGAAAGCAGGTGGCTCTGTTCTGGGAGGATGAGCAGGGAGGGGCTGCTGGCTGATGGGTGGACACAGGACTCAGGGAAAGTAGTATCCTTTTAAATGCTCAGGGAGAAATGGCCCAGGACAAGGGAAGATTTTCACTTAGTCAATGAGATGAGTGGTTGTTCCCTGAAAGAACTGAAAATTGGACACCTAACTTAAAGAAGGTAGAAGTTTGGATATTTTTCTGTCTTTGTGATCTTGATTATCCTGTTCTTTCGTCCATTAAGCAGGGCCTAAGTGAAGAGCCAAGAGGAATTGGCTGTACCAATTGTTACCTTGGCTTGCTGTTAGCAAGTTTCCTACACTTCATTTGTAAGGGAAACTCTGTTTCATAAAAAAAAATAATTGAGAATTACTTTTTTTTCCCCTTTACAAACTGTATGCCTTTAATTTGAAAATACCTAGCAGAAGGGATAAATCTGGACTGTTTAAATTAGTGGCAACATTCCTACCAGTTTCAATGAGGTCAGGTTTCTTCTTTCAGTTAACTTTGAATGTGAGTTAATGCAAGTGAATTTATATGCCCCAAAAATTAGTACAAGTATCCACATTTTGCAGCTCACAGATCTTAATATATACCACTTAAATATGAACAGGTGAGTGTGACTAATTAAAGTAATATGTGCCATTCTGCAGTGTGTACGAAGGTATTTATGACTGTATATGACCTTAAAACGCCACTGTGGTGTTGGCACTAACACATGCAGTGTTAATGTAGGATTTTTGATGTCTTGTGTGTTTAATTGCCTTACTAGCATTTGCTTGGTCAACAACAGTGAAAAAAGTTGGCATAAGTATGGCTTCCTCTGGGTAGGCACACAGCACTTATACAGGGAAGTTACACGTGTTTTTGTAATCTTTCACTGCTGCTCTGGACACACTGCTCATCCATTTCACAGCATATTAATAAAAAATGACACAAAGCACTTGTTAATCTGTTTTTCCTCGGTGTAAACTATCTTTTCTGCATTAGTCACTTTCCCAAAATGCCCATAGGGGCAGCTGAGAGTTTTATTAAAACAGTCCTTTAGCCCTTGTGCTGCAGTTGTCAGCATGGAAAGCAGAGTGACTGTCACACTGCAGACTTGCCAGTTATCCTGTGCAACTGAGCATGAAGTCGATTGTCAAAAGCCAAAGAAAACCTTGCATCCCATTTTCTGCTTCAGCAGTATCTGCAGCACTTCAGAGAAAATGCACTTATGTGATATTTCTTAGCTGGGATAATTTGCTAAGTTGCAATCTGTCTCCAATTTTAATGTTATTTCTCTGCTGAAAATAGTAAACTGAGAGTTTGCCAGAGTTCGTAATAGAGGTAGCTAGTGTGGAACTATTGGATAGATTATAATTGTCTTCTGACTGCCACAAATAGATTGAAACCTAACCCAAATTAATTAGCTCTAATTAGTTTTTAAGTCCATTTTGTATCAGTACCATTATAAAATAAGTTGAAATAAATGTTAGCAAATAAATACATGTAAAAGCATTTATAATTTTGAAGAAGTTTTCTGTATATCTGAAAATATTCTATTGTTGTCAGACATACAAACTGTGAAATTTTCCTAAACTCAGGATGCATTATTTTTGAATGTTGTATTTAGTATAGTTCCAGAGTTTGTTTTAAAGTTATGCTATGGAATTTCTTTGTGTATATGATAAATTGACATGTGACAACACTAGAGACCCTGATGGTTTAGAAATTTTGTGTCAAGCTTTATTTGATGCCTGAAATAAAGATTCAAATCCAATAAATGATGCTATTTTTAATGTTTTAGAAAAATTTAGTGAACTTAGATCCTTCTCTGAAATGTACTTTTGTAATTCATGTCTGCTTCATTTGGAATTGCAGTTTGGAATGGATATACACGAACAGACACTTTTTGAAAGAATCAGTGTGATTAGTGGTTTTTCCAAGTGGAATTGATTGGAACTCACATGGGGTCCCTGAGGTTGAATTCTGTACAAAGTAGTCACTTTGCTTACATGCAGTCAGCTGGGAATGGCATCATTCCTGGGGTGTTTGCAGGCTGATCTGACATGTTTACAATGAATGCCATGGGATGTTTTCCTCTGCCACGGAGATTTCTGACTTTTTACAGCTGATGAAGGTGATGGAATCATTTGTAAACCAATACTTTTGAGAGGTGTGGAAGCTGAGTTGTGCTGTGGTTTCTGGTGACTGTTTCAATCAGTTGTGGAGAGATTGTTGGTTATAAAAGTTGTGTTGCTGTCTATAAAGGAAGGTACTCTATATGTTAAAGTGGTATGTTTATCGTTCTATATTGCTTTGTTAATCTAAGGAAAAGATACACAGAGTTATTTAAATAATAGACCTTTTCTACAAATGAGCTTTTGAACTTCTGATGTGTGACCACTGTGTCTGTGACACTGCAGTTAGAATTAAGATTAGCTTTTGAAAAACAGGGTACTTGATCTTAGAGCCTGAGGAGAAAGTTCCCAAGGTAAAGACATCTATATCTCTGTGTGATTTTGATTGCTTATTGTACAGAGAAATCACCCGCAATTTCTTTTCCACTGTAAATCTCTTGAAGGCCACACTTTGAAAAGCAGGTTTTCTGATGCTAAGTGTGATTTCTGGGATGTACTGACACACTGAAAGAAGCCAGTAGGCATGTCCTAGAAGTTCCCAATGGACTATTATGCCTGGCTTTCTTCTGTCTTCTGGCAGAATACTGTGACGGTGTATGTTTTCATATGTGTCTCATTCCTTTTTGTGTCCAGCTTTCCAATCCATCCTAGCTGCTCCCAGTAACTTTCTTATCCCTATTCCCATCTACAGTAGCATTCTTAAGACCTACAGACTTTATCAAGAGTTATTAACTATTTCCACTGGAAATACTGGTAGAAATATGATATAGATGTTTGTCCAAATGGAACAAGACAAGAACTCCTAATGAATTTCTTATTAACAAGCACATCAATATAAGTACTTTCATCAATTTAATATGTGCTGCTGCTGTTAAGAAAGGATGATGCTTTCATTTAAGAAAACCTGAATTCCATGGAAATACGTTTGAGGGTTTTGTTTGTTTTTTTTTTCCCTAGAAATTGTATCAAAGCTACTTTGCAACTATATAATTTTGTTTTATACTCATGATTTTATACTCAGATTAGGCTCAGTTTTTTGCTTTATCTTAATTCTTTGTCAATTCAATAGTTTTTGGAATTTTAATTTAAAAATAATGAATAAGATACTTCTAGAGCATCATGGGAAGCTCTTTTAAAATAGAAATAAAATTTATTTATATCACTTTAGTTAACCACAATCCACTGAAATCTAATTGAATTGCTTTTCTTGGTTTCTTTTGGAAGAAAAACAAATTATGATCATATGATATGAATGAATTATGAAGCTTTTTTAAAGTCCAAAACTCAAATGTTTGAGCATTTATGTTTTTCCCGCATTGTTCTTGAAAATATACAGATTGAGATTTTAGCTCTGAATTAGAAGATATGTCCCCTTATTCTTTCTGAAAGTAGATTTTTTCCAAGTATTTGTCTCTGGTTTTCTTTTTCTTTTGTAGTTAGTGATTAGGTATCTTGGTAACACTTAATGAGAAATTAATGTAGACATCATAAAACAACATCAAATTTTCCTGAAATGGACTCCTTTTAATCTTTGTATTTTTGTGACAGTATTGCTGCTATAATTTATCCTCTTGTTAGGAATCAGAAACAAATCACCTTCAGTCACATTTGAGTTCATTTTAGAACTAAATTGCAAAACTTATTCGTTCAATTATTTACTCTTAAGTTCAGAGCCTCTCCTAAGCACTGAAAATTCTTAAAAACAATAAAGGTTACATTGCAATTAAAAAAAAGAGGTTTGAAAATCAGACTATGCAAAAGTGCTATCAGCTTCCTTGATGTTATAACAAGAAACTTTTCAAAGAATATCTCAGCTCTTGGACTGGCCCAAAGCAGCTCAAGAGGTTGCTTTCATGAAGCTGATATTTATAAAGTTGGTCCTACTGTAGCAGCACACAGCAGATAAGCAGTGGAGTATGTCTGATAATAGAGCTATATGCTGGGGCAATTCAGTTCCTGCTTCTGTGATAAAGTGCAAATAGATTAGACCTGTGAGGTCCCAGATTAGTGCACGAGGAAAGCTCGCCAATGCAAATAAGACTGAAACAAGAACACATTGTTGGGATTTCTGCTAGTTAGCTGTTAATCAAGTAAAACATGGTATATTAGGGCCTTTTAACACGTTTTTGACATTTAGCCTTATGCAGCTGACAGATAAATTAGTCTTCTTTTGTGATTGACCGAGAAAAAAAAAGTTATACTGTTCATTAAAAAGATTAAATAGTGTTATGTTTAATTCATTGTAGATGAAAAAATCATTTGGGTAAATAAATCTTCAAGAAGCAGTTGCTGTAGAACTGAGTCTGCATATAACTAGGTGGAATCTGAATGGTTATTAAACTATTCAACTTAGTGGTGGCTGGCATTTTAATGTTAATATTCAAGAGATTAAGATTTTTTTATTATTTGTTGTTAGGAATAAACCTGAAGTTATTTAGTGTTCCAGAGAACCAGAGAAAGGTTTGGGTTGGAAGGGACCACCTTAAAGATCATCTAGTTCCAACACCTTTGCCATGGGCAGGGACACCTTCCACTAGACAGGGTTGCTACAGACCTCAGATCATCTTCATGGCCCTCTTCAGGGCTCTCTCCAGCATGTCCATGTCCTTGTGTTGAGGGCCCCAGAGCTGGATGCAGTTCTTCTCCCAGTGGAGTCTCACCAGAGCAGGACAGATGTGCAGAATCCCCTCCCTTGACCTGCTGCCCAGGCTGCTTTTGATGCAGCCCAGGACACCGTTGGAAAATGCATTACTGAGTTGAATATCTTTCTGTATCCATCACAAAACTAAACATATTCACGTCAGTGTAGATCTTCAATGAAGTTTCTGTGGTGTGTTACTCTTATCAAGTGTTTAAAACCTTGGACTTCCGATTTTGAAATCCAGAGAAATCTGGCATTGACTTCAATACCATTAACTCAATCATCCTCTGCTTCTGAAGGTTGTTTTTGCTAACTGCTACATAATGCAAAGAAATTTTATTCTGTCTTTTCTTAAAATGATTCCCGACTTTTCTATTTTGCAATTCTTTCCCTTTTTAGGAAAGAATAATAGAGCGTCTGAAGGAGCAAAGGGATCGAGATGACAGAGAAAGACTTGAAGAAATTGAATCTTATAAAAAAGAAAACAAAGACCTGAAGGAGAAAGTTAATGCTTTACAAGCTGAACTGACAGAAAAAGAGGTCAGTCTTTTCATAAAATCTCTGCTCTTCTGTCTGTGTCATTATGATGAAAGAAAGTGCATTAGGATTGCTCTTGAATCATTTTGAGTTCTGAAATTCTACCACCTCAGTGGTCAGCTTCTGAACTGCTGTTTTCTTGAGCGTTCTTCACAGTCCTCATTTGTACATAAAGGATTGCTTCAGGTTTTACACAGTTGTGTGTCATTGTCTCTACTTTGTCCTTTACCTAAGCCTCCACTGGGCTCAAATATTCCACTGCTGCTCCTGTTTCTGTTTGTCAGTTAGAGCAATAAATTTCAAAGTGTTTGTACCTCCAGGCCAGAACACCAGCTTGTCTGTATAATGAATGTTTCTGTGTTTCACTGCATTCTATCCCCTGTGGTTCCAGTTGGTTGTGTTCACAAAATGGTGTCTTTTGCTATCAATGCTTATCTTTGCGTCAACTTTTTGGGGAAGGGGAGGGGGAACAGGATCCAAGTGATTGCTAAGTTGGCAATAAGTTAGTGTCCTGGTGACTAGGAATTAACTTTTTACTCTTGGTCGTTTTTCAGTCTAGTTTAATCGATCTCAAAGAACATGCATCTTCATTGGCATCAGCAGGGCTGAAAAGAGACTCCAAACTTAAGTCTTTAGAAATAGCCATAGAACAAAAGAAAGAAGAGTGTAGTAAGTTGGAAGCACAGTTGAAAAAGGTAAGTTCCATCTTAAAACAAACAATCAGCAGAACAAAAATCAGCATCGCATACCCTCATTTTCAAATTATGATCTTATTTACTCTTCTGGAGTAAATCTAAAATCTAATCATCTTATGCTGTTTGCTGATGCTTGCATCAAATACTGCTTTTTCTCACGAGGTTTGTACCAAAGCCACTAGTGAGCCTCAGAAATTGTCCTGAATGCCTCTATGAGGGAATTCTGAGACTCTGCAGCACATAGTTGAACTGGGAGCAGGACATTGGAGGGAAAGTAGGAGGGCAGAAAGAAATCATCAAACCAGCAATTTGTGTGTATGTGAATTTATACCACTTTTAGAAGTGAACTGAAACGTTTGTGGTATGGGAAAAAAATTAATGGCTTGTCCAAGAAGTGCTGTACTTCCTAGTCCAAAAAATTCAGCTTCCAAAATGGAAACTCTAGCTAGGTTTTATTTTGATGTCTTTTTGGCTTTCTTGGTGAACACATGTTTGTGATAATTAAGCAAAATAATGCAAAGTCTATCTCAGCTGGCAATTCAGTATTTCTACTCAGCAAGTAGTGGAAGCAAGCATTTAAAGGAAAACATGCAAGTCCTGCATTTTATTTACATGGTTTTATTTAAATTGCTGTGTTAAACTAGTTTTTGCTTAAATGATTTGCAGTTTGTTGATACCATTGTTTCTTTGACCTTTCTCTGTGTTGTTTGGTAGTGTCTGCTCTCACTGTTTGAACACCAATCTCATTACGTATTTGATGGGTTTAGGCATTACCTTTGCCTTCTGCAATTCATGACTAAGTGTATGTCAAATGTTATTTTTTTTTAATATTGATATAATGTTTCATTTTCTAGAAAATAATATTTGTTCTGTGAATGTTACCACTGTTAGGATAATATTCTTGACACTCTTTTTACCCAGGTTGTTTAATCACTGCTCAGTGATTAAACATTGTTTCAATAGCCTGACCTGTGAAGAAGGTACTGCAAAGTATAAAGGATACCAGAGTGCAAACCTTATACTTCTACTCTTTTTTAATTCACAATGAATATGTGCAATTAGGTGCCTGCATTAGATGTCTAGTTGTGGAGAGGAAGGGAAGCTTTTTCAATAAACATATACAAGCAGAAACACAAATGGAAACACAAGTATTTTAAATGTCTGAGAGCTTATAAGTGCTACTGATGTCAGAATTAAAATATCCAAAGAAAAGGTTTCTCTGGAAGTCATTTAGTTTGGTTTTGTTTGTTAGAAAATAAGTTTGTTTACTTTACACTTCACTACAAAATATACTTCATTACAATCTGAAATATCTTATTTTCTTAATTTAAAGAAAAATAGTTAAAAGAACCCTGAAAGCACAGATCACTTAAAAAAACCTCATCAAAATCCTCTTGAAGGACTTGAAATTCTAAGTCAATCTTTTATGACTGTACATATAAACACATCATAGAGTCATGGAAAAATAAGCCCTTATAAAAGTCAGAGAGTGTCTGGGACGTCTTTCGTATAAAAAGGGAGTATGTTCCCTGTGAATAAATACAAAGGATTATTAAATGAAAGCTGAAAACATAATAGTTTTATTATATCATAAATACAGCATAAAGCCCCAATGGAAATTCACTCAACATTTGTAGGAGACCAGGTATTTCCACAATAAAATGTAGTTACAACCTTCTTTCTGGGCATGTTTAATTGAACAGAAACAGTGACTGTTAATGATAGTAGACTCCAAACAGTAATTTTCAATTCACATTTTCTCTAATGAAATACTTTATGTTCAAACCTGTAAATATCCTGTGTTAAAAGTAATTGGTCCCCAGAAAACCACCTTCCCCATGTTTTCACTCCTTAGGAAACTAACTGAAACAGAAATCAGGGTTACTCTTGCACATGTCTGAGTTGGAGTAGGAGGGGACATCAACATAGCTGGGAGTAAATTAACCTGTGTGTCCCATAAGTGTGCTTGGGTAGGAACATTAACCACTACAGGAGCTGGAAGGACCAGGCACATTTTATATCTCTCTTTAAAAGTGACTCCAAGGGGCTGTCTCGTTGAAAAAAGTTGAATGTAGTTTGCACATTACTCCTCTCTAAAAATATCGTAGAGAAGGTACTTTCCATTATGGGACTGCAAAATAATTGTAGTACAATGTTGATTTATATGTCTTAACAGGTTATACTAATAAATATAAGGATAGAATTCTGTGCACACTTGCTAGGAGTTAGTTTTCCACGAGCACTGATGGTAGAAGTGCTAGGTCTGAAAGAAAACATGCACAAGAGGCAAGTCCAAACTAAATCTGTAAATAAAAAAACAACTTTTAGAGTTTCTCTTCCCTGATTTCCCCTGCTTTCTGCTTTTTGGAGATAAAAATATTCATTTATTGATAATAAAGATGGTTTTGATTGGGTCTGATCAGATCCAAATATTTTTCAGTATTGCATAACTGGATTGTTTGCATTTCAGCTAGAGAAAATATGCTGATTCTAAACCACTGGTTTACACAGTAAGCATATTTCAAAAATAATAAATAAGATATTTGTAAAATGTAATTCTTCCTGTGACTGTGCTACATTTTGGTATACAAATCAATGTTTAAAATTATAGACATGCTTATTAAACTTTTTGTGACAAAGATTGTGGATTGAAATTCATATAATGAAAAAAACCAATAAATCATAAATACCAGAGAATGGTCAATGCTTTTCCCCCAAAATTCCGCAGATTTTTGTTGACTTACTTTGTATTGCTACTAGTGAAAGAACAGCAGGAATTACCTAATAGGTAGTGAAGTGTTTTATATATATATGTGTATATATAATCTTTATTATCCACTCTAGAATTTCCTCCTTTTGTTGTTTTTCATTATCTTAAATTTACTTGCTTACTGACATATTTGCAGTTGCCTAAAGTACTTTTTGCCAAGCTGTAGTGTTCGAAAGTCATTCTGCATAGAAAATTCAGTCTTGTGTTAAACAAAAGGAAAGTAATAAATTTAATGATACAATTTAATTAATCTTTTATTATTACCGTCTTTGAAGCTTTGGTGATAAATTGCAGCCTCAGCCAAAAGCACTTCTCGTGATTCATTGCTTGAGACCAGCACTTAATGTATCATCAAAAGTGGACACCTTTCTTTATTTCATGGGTTATTTAACTTGAGAAAGGGAAAGTAACACAAACCTTAAATTTCTTACTCCAGCTATTCTTTTTTAGGAGCCAAAGTCAACATTTATGTTTCCCCAGTGCCTCTCACTTTCACCAAGGAATGTTTAGAATCTTAAATTTCTACTTTTTTTTTTTAATGACAAGTTCTTCTGTGCAAATGCACTGGTTTTGTTGAGCTAATGCTGTTTTCCTGGATCTTTCCTTCTTTTCCTGTCTGTGCTTCACTCCCTACCAACTTTGCAATGTAGCAAGCTGAACAGTTGTTCAATCAGATGTACAATCCAGTAAGTTCTTTTTTAAAATGCCCGCTGTAACATATGAAAGCATGAGGATCCATCCCCTTACTGTGTTGTGCTCTTCCTCTGTGGAGCTTTGCAGAACACTTCTGATGCTCACTATGCTATATTCATTGTATCCAAATAAATGAACTTTGTGGACTTTAAGGCTGTTTTAAGAATATGAAATGCCTTAAATAGGTACACGCTGTGTTTCTGAGAAAGCAAACACTCTAGCCTTTAGGTCCTCAACTTTTCCATTAGAAAAAGCATGCAGATTTTATTTATTTTGGTTTTGGTTTTTTGCTTTGCTTTTTAATTCCTCTTTCTGCAGTACTTTATTTGATCCTTCAAACTTAAATAACTCCTAATGTGTTCAGTTTTATCTTCAGTGACTGAGTTGATTAGGTTAATAACAGCATCTAGGAAATGACTGGTACTATTTCCAGTCATTTCTAGTCCATATGACTAAAATAGATCAGCTCTACTCATGAAAGACTGTATACATTCAGCATATATATATTAGGAACATGGAAACTTTGTATTTAAGCAAAGAAAATGCTGAAATATAAAATTATTAATGCAATGGGCAGTTTTTGCGAAAGCACAGTATTGTTTTGGCTTGTTTAGCATAAATATTCTTGCCAGTGTGTGCTTTAATTGCATAATATCTCCCATTCTGACTTGACTGTGCTCCTTTTCAATTTGAGGAAGAGCAGCAACAAACATTCTCTCTGCAAAGAACAGTTTCCATTTTTTTGGCAGAGACTGTTACATTTAATGTGCTCTGAGCATCACAGGGCAGAAAAAATGATGTCACTGTAATAGCAATTTACAGGCTATAGTTTACATAGTAATCATAGTCGGAATTACCATGTAATTGGGATAGTACATCTAGAGGAACTGGGTTTGTAGCTGAAGTAATGTGATACTGTGCATTAGAGAAGGCATTGCCATCACTGAAGTCAATGGGAGTCTTGCCATCAGTGTCAGTGGATCAGGATTCCGCCTTTGGACTCTGTCATGGGTAGGTTTTGTAGCTTCTAACCGTGCAATGGATATGTCATGGCTTACATATGGGGAAAGAGAGTCCCACAGAATGTGCTGTATTTACTTTTAAAGTTATTGGTTAGCTGGTTTTAGAATTCAGTCATAAATTGTAGCGTAAGTAGCATCAAACCTGGTATTGTCACCTCTCCCCTCCAGCACACTGCTGGTGACAGAGCTTGTCCCTTGGAATAATAAACCCCTTCTTCTCTGTATCATCTTGGTTCACCTTTGTGGTAGTTATGTTTCTATTCATATCATTTGCACTCCTACTGTGCTTGTCTTTTCCAGATTTTAGCTTGATTTTCATAAATGCTTGCCAGTCATTACCTCAGTGTTAGCGACTCTGCTGTATAGAATTTGTTTATTCCCTCCTAGTCTGTTTGTCTGCAGTATTCCAAAGTCAGTCCTTTTCTTAAATTCTTTTCCACTGCCTTTACGTGCTTAATTTTCCAAAGGACAGCCTGTTGGCAGTTCCAAAATAATGGATGCTAGATCCTTTTCTTTTGGCACCAGGCAGCAATCATAGTATATTGACAAGATGATTTTGTTAAATAAACTTTTCTTGCTCGTCTTCTTTCTTCTCCTACCTTTTTATATATATATATATATTTACATATATATATATATATAAATCTACTTTTAACAACGTGAATAGCAATGATTCTCTTCTCACCCCAAACCAACCAAGGCCTTGAAATGAAATCATGATTTGACTGAAGTGAATGGCAGCATTTTCTTTGTGTTCCACAAGGCCAAGATTTCACCTTTGTCTTTGAGATAGCGTGATAGCAGTTACTTGATACCTTTTTTTTTTGTACTCAAAATCATTGATACTTTATTTAACAGAATGTTTTATTGACCTTTTTTTTTTTTTTTTTTTTGCTTGAGAATCATAGTTCTAAAAAACTCAGATGTCAATGTAATCTGAAAATACTGAAGTTTTCATGCTCATTTGTTTACATGTGTCAGAGCAATAGCAGCCAATCACTGAGTGGACTTTTAGCCCATGCAGTAATATAGCATTTTTTTGGTGATTGAATGTGTTTTTTGTGCTGTGTCACACAGGTATTGACTCCAAGACTTTCATTTTTTGCTGAATCTAATGTTTCTTAAATACAGCAATGGCTAGAAGTGTTTTATTCTTATATACATTTGAGTACCAAAGAGGAGATGATACTAAAGGGGTGTAAATCCTGCATGCTCTATAGCAAATGATTTCCAGTTTATTCACCTGTAAGAGGGAATAGAAGTGAACATTTCTTCATGTTTTGAAAGATGAACTTTTTGAAATACCTAATGAAATTTTGTGTAAAATTGATTATAAGAAATTACATTATTGCCTTTGGACTGTAATGAAAATATAATGCTGTACTTTAGAGTTCAGGTGAACCTTTTTCTGAATTACTAAAGACTAAATTTTCCTAAATCCTTCACCAGAGCAATGTCAGATTAAAATTCAGAGTACCTGCAGAATCCTCTCTAAATTACCTACAGTAATCCCTGAAGTTAAATAAAGTCCCCATGAATTTTAAGGAGACAAAAAAATTAAGGTGACAGCAATCTATTTTTTTATTTGTTTATCACTTAAAGTAATAAAATTTGAAGGATCTTACAAAGTAATTTCTTGCATGTAAATTCTGCTGTTCATTTTTTTTTTAAATCAAGTATTTGGTTAATTTCTGTGTATGTTTGTGTCTGAAGCTTTAAAAATTAAACATTATATCTATCCATCCATTTCTGTTATGCAGAACAATGCATGTATGACTGTACCATAAGATTTTAATAGACTAAATAATTCATGTTGCATGTCTGTGCCATCCTCTTACGGTGTTTCTGTAGGAAATTTGTGGTTTACATAAGGAAATGTTACTTTACTTCTGAAGTATTTGTAGTATTTATTAAGCAAATATCAGAACAGATACATAATTATTGTAAAAATCTGTGAAATCCTAATGGTAGAGTACTATGCTATTTTTATTGAATTGTAAAAATAACATACAATAATGCAGTCACAAGATAGACAGAAAAGACATCATAAACAAGTGGTCTAGTTTGCAAGTAACCTAATCTGCACACACAGGAATTATCATTTGCAGGTACAGATTTAGAAAGCTCAAAGGTATGCATGGACCAGTCACTCTTACCCATACAAACCCAGTAAAAACAGAAAATGTGTTCTTTCCAAGAAAACAGAGAACTTAGGGAGAAAAGTGGGACAGAAATAAAAAAAAGAAAAAGGTATAGAAGAGAGGACAGCAGTAATAGGCAGAGACTTTCTGATTCATGTAATAATCTTGTAGCTTTTGGCTGCACATCCCACAACTATGGGATGGTAGGAGTACCACAGAAAACATAAGAATTGAAAACACTTGTGCAACTTAATGTTGATTTCCTTACCATGCTGGTGAGCAAAGATTAAATGGCTTAACTCAGGAATAAAAGTATATCTATTATTCCAAGTGATGATTTACTTATCAGCAGTGCAGCAGGTAATTTGGTCAGCACATTTCTGAGCTGCTGTGTGACAGGAATCTTCTGTGGTGGTAGAACATTTGGCACCTTGCATTAGTGACACTTTTGTGTTCTTGCCCAATTATGTATTTTCCTCATAGAAAAAAAAAAAAGCTTCTCTTTTCTCCATTACTTCTTACCCTGGGTTAAGACAAGGGTAGAGTGTATGGGGAAAAAAGGTTTGGGCTGAAGCTGAGAGTTCCTTTATGCTAAAGTGAAGACTGCTTAGAGGAAGGAAGGTGAGTAATTTTCTTCTTTATGAAATGATGGAAGCAAGGCTGGTACATTGGTTAATTATAGGCTAAAATAGAGGGAAGGGAAAGAAAGGTGGCAGGGAAGAATATGAAAGAGTGATAGCCAGTAGAGGGGAACTGTGCAATTCTGGATTTACCCTTAGGAAAGCAGGAGAAATCTGAACAATAGGGAACAACACGCTTTTTGCACAAGTTTCTTAGTATCTTAACAGTGGGAGTTGGGTTGTATTTCTAGAGTGAATTTACCATTGTCAACCTATAGAATTATTCTTATTTTTATTCCTTGGAAAATAACACAGTGACAAAACAGTGTGTAATATAATAGCACTGATGGATAATTGAAGTGCTTTGCCGCTGGAAATTGGTGCAATCTCTCAAATAATTGGCCCCGAGTCTGAGTCTTACAGTGACTTCAAAAATTACAAAGTTAGTTGAAAGTAAATTTCTTGATACAATTAACAGCTAGTATAAAATAAATCCAAGTTTATTGTTAAAGCAGGAAGATTACGAGGCTGAAAAGGAATCTGTTCCTAGCATCTCATCTGAACTGTTGAATCAAGATACTCCTTGAATGTCACCTTTAAACCAGCTCTGTGTTAGAAAACTCCTGCATTCAGGACTGGAGCATGTATTATTATCCAAAACAGAATTTGAAGAGCAAGGCCAGTAGGTTTAGTAGCTCCTCATGTCGTTCCCTTGGCTTCTCCTGGAAATGAAATATTCCTCTGAATAAAAATCTCAAGCAGGATAAATAAAACTTCAAATCTACTATCTTTTTCTTATTATCCTCATGCTTAAATGATATGTTACATGCAACCCCCCTAAGTTTCTTCCCTAGTAATTTGAATTTATTTGTTGTATTTATGGTAAACTCAGACTTGTTTTTTATTTATACAGAAAATTTTATCCATTGCAAAGAATACGAACCTTCTAATATCTGTAGTTTATATTAATTCTTTCCTAAACATGCATGTTTCATTTTGATCTGCATTTCTTTCATTGCTTGCTTGCATTGTCTATTCCCTGAAATTAAGAAGAATAAGTAAGTCCACGTCTTCTCGGCGTAATAAGATAGTTGGAGGACCTTCATTTTCTAAATATCATGAATTTCTGTAAAAATCCTGTATGTTATCTGAATTTTCTATGTTTAATGTGCACTGCCTTAAACTACTTGTTTTTTCCTTGCCTGCTCTTTCAAGATGCCAATTAGGAATAATGGGAAGCAAGGGGTAGGCTAAGCATTGCAGTGCATTGTTGTTTCCATCTGTCTGTGATTATTCCAGCCAACAGTTTAAAGCACTTGGTGCCAGATCCTGCTCCCATTGAAGTTAATTGGTTTTTTGCCATGAGGTTTGGTGGGAGCTGGACTGGGCTCTGCACTCTTGTTGTGTTCCTTGCGTTCTCTCTTGTCTGTGACACCGCCACCCATCCATGCATGTGTTTGCCAGGTTTGTGCTGTTTTCACCGATGGGCTTGTTCCTCTGATGTTTCAGGTTAAGTATTAATGATGAGACAAAAAGGATTATTGGGTAAAATGTCTGCTGAAAGCAGCTTTTTTAGTTTATCGGTTTGCCTTTTAAAAACAGCACTGCATTAAAACAATTTCTTTCTTTTAAATTCTTTGTATCAAACTGCATTTGAGACATCTGGCGATACAGATATATACAATATGTATATATGTATCTGTTTTTTTGTATATATACATGGACAAATTGTGTATGTATATATATGGGGAAAGAGAATATGATTTGTTAAGAAGTTGCCTATATATTTAAAACACTTTAAGAGCTTACTGTGAATTGAATGAATTACAAGGTGATTTTTTTAATTTGAAAAAAAAAACCTTAAAATATAGTCACTTTAATATGTAAAAAAAAAAAATCCCTTAATAAATCCCCTCCCCCTTCAGGATGCTAGAATTTGACTAAGAAGATATTTTAATTTCTTTTTATAATGCTTCTGTAGAAAAGAGTGTCATTGGACAGAAATACCCATAATCCTTTTTAATGAAAAACTTGAACTCCGAGACTGAAGAAGTGAAGCTCTTAAAGCTATTGAAATTATTGTCATCCTTATTTTTTTTTTGAAATATTATTCTGAAGGCTCATGAGGCTGAAGAGGAGGCACGGATGAACCCGGAATTTGCAGACAGAATCAAACAGCTTGACAAAGAGGCATCGTACTATAGAGAAGAATGTGGCAAAGCTCAGGCTGAGGTTGACAGACTTCTAGAAATACTCAAGGAAGTAGAGAATGAGAAGAATGACAAAGATAAGAAAATTGCTGAGTTAGAAAGGTAATGTTTGTATTGTCTTACACTGAGTGGCATTTTTGCTTAATTGATCTTCATTTCAGAGCAGAGTCTGTTTTTTAACAGAATATTTGTTATGCCTTGTAAAATTGAATCAGAAATGAAAAAAACAGGCTACTTGATAACTTCCATCTCCTGTCTGCTGCCTTTGGAACAATTTAAGGTTTCCATTTTTTAATACTCTTCATAAAAGGAACACATGTAGGAAAAGTCATGTGCAATTCATAGGGACAACAACCCTCCCAGAAAACCATGTTGGGGAGCAATCCTGTCTTTCTGGTAACTGGTGAATCAAAACTGTCCCCACACGTTTCTTCACTGTGAACATCATCACTAATTCTAAGAGGTCCTGAAAAGTATTGGTGAGTATTTCTAACCTGTCTCATGACTATTTAATAATAGTTGTAACTATTTCTCAATGTTCCTGTAGTCTTTTGACTGCTTCTAAAGAATATTTTCTGATGTCAACCAGGCGGTAATTGTCTTATTTCTGAGAAGGTTGTACAGTCTTTCCTTAATGGAGACAGGTGGGTTTTGGGATCAGCTGTCTCACGCCCTTTGTAATTAAATAATTCTTGGAGCCTTCTCCCACGTGGTTTGCTGCTATTTATTTATGAGCCTCTGATTTCTTTGTTCCTTTCCTCTACTTAGCCACTCTTACTTAAATGAAAGAAGGAGGTTTGTTTTTTTTTTTTCCAAATGCTTTATATAATTGTTTTATTGTGATAAAGCCAGAAGAAAAGTGTTTCATGGTTCCGAAAGAGAAGTTTAACTGATCTCATTGTTGTGATCATTGCTATAGTTCCAGTCAAGACAAAGGACTGCTCTGTCTCAATAAGAAGTATTACCAGCAAAGAGGGGAAGATCTGTGGGAAATGTTAGTTACCTTGGAGGGTGGAAAACAGCCAGCTTGGAAAGAAAGAGGTGTAGAACACCTTTTACTGACAATGACTTAAAAACCTTCACAGTTATCTGCTGCCAAAACTTATTTTTCTCTGCAGACATTTGGCAAAGTTTAATAATGGTTAATTGTCATGAAAATGGAGACCTCAAATTTAAAGTGAAAAAAGATTTGTACTCAAATTAGAACTGATTGTTTACAGGAGGACAGCTTCAGTTTGCAGTTGCCTCTCTCACCACATCAGAAAGCATTTAGAATGCTCTAGTTTTTGCACCTATTTTAATGTGTTCTTAAAGAAATAGTAACTAATCTCCTTGCACTGTAAAACCTACTGAATTAATAGTGTGACACCCGCCTCATTAGTAGGCATGCTAAACTTTTATTCAAGATAATTTTAAGACATTTATTAAGTAACAATCATGTGTTGAATTTTTGAATATTAAAGTGCTAATTAAAAGATGATCATGATTAAGTGCTGAAGCTTGAATATTTTATGGAAAAAGAGATAAATAATTGATAGAGACTTATTTGAATTAAATTGAGAATTGATTAAAAAGCAATAATTACAAAGAAACAAAGAACCAAGGGATCCAGAGATATTGCTACAGCATCGTCAGCATACAACCTGTTCTTATTGTCTGAGAACCCTGTAATAGGTTATGCAATGGACAGAACTTTCTATTTTTGTACTCTTTTTGGTTTTTTAAAAAATTCTGTGTACTCTTACCAGTGAAATTTTGGGACACCAATTTCTAGTCTGTTGCTGTTTTATCAGGGTGTTGATCCTGACATAGCTTTTCAGAAAATAATGTGGTACTGCTGAGTGGACACAGACTTTTTGAAGAGGATACACTGTACTAACAATGTGATGAAGTAGTTAAACCTTGCTATGAACCTTTAAGTACTTCTGTAATGCTTGCAGTATGATATCTGTGCAATGACCAGCTAAAGAGAGGAGCAGTATGTTGGAATTTTGGGACTCATCACGCTCTCAGATTTCTTTTTGAATTCTCTTATCTTTACTGCAGTTTCTCAGTTGATTTTACTTATGAGCAGCTTTCAAGATTAATTCCAAATTCCTGTACACATAGTGTAAATATAAGGTAATTATTGTAAACTAGGAAAAGAAAAAAGAATTAACGTAAAAATTATCTATTGTTGATTTCAATGACAAGTTACTGCCATTACTTGCTAATGGAGTCTTAAAGCTGCTTTCCAACACGCCTAATCAGGGTCTTAAAATTGTTGATTGGTTGACTAAGGCTGGCAATCTGCTGGCAGTATGAAGGTGTAACAGGGAAATATTTTTTTGCAAGTGAGTATCAAACCTCTCTTACTAATCAGGTTCCCTTTAGGTTTCTCTAAAATGTAATTGATCTTCTCTCTCCTTATTTTGTAAAACCATTGCCGAAAGATCTGTATTTAACTGTGGCACCTGTTGGTATCCCCAGAGAATGAACTTTGATGTTCAAATTCCCCTTTCTAGGGGTTTAGGTGGAGTGTAAATTGCTGTAACATTTTATGAAGAACTGCCACTTTTTTCTTCTTGTAATGACTGTTTGATTGGCTCGTTATTGAAGGGAAGAGGTGGAGCCAAAGCTCAGTTTACCCGATTTATGGGAATAAAACATTGCAAAAATGACCTCAACTTTAACAAATTCAAAGATGTTCTTTCCTTCTCGTCCCACTAGAAATATCTGCTTCGAGATATGGGCAGTTAAATTTATAAGGGTTTGCTATTTGGCAGATGAACATTATTAGTAATTATGGAGCAACCTTCATATGAATGGTAATTCTTTTGGTTTTAATGTGATTTTCTTGGCTCAGAAACTGTCACACTCCTCAGTTGCATCACTGCAGATTCATATTATTGCTCATATATAAAAACACGTGGGTCTGTTTCTTAAATTACTCTCTCTATATTAATTTTGTATTTTCCAGTTTTTTATTATTACATAGGACAACCAGTTCCTTCTTTTATACTCAAGCTGTTGTTCGATAATTTCTATTGCATTTTTCATGATTTATCTGTTTATAATTAAAAAAGGTTAAAATTAAATGCAAGATATTGCATTCAGTGTGTAATGTACTTCCGTTAAACTTAGCTTGATGTTTTTCTTTGGTTTTCTTGGTGAAGAAATGTAGTGTGGGTGTTTGTTTTTTTTTTGTTTTAATGATGCAAATGAAACTGGATATGATAGTGATAAGCTCAAATTTTAATGCAAAGGACCTAGCCAAGGAGAGGGAGCTGCAGCTGAAGCTGAACTGTCAGGGCTGAAGGAGTATGTTGTTTAAAGCTTTTATTATTGGTGTTAGAATGGGAAGTATATTTATGAAATATGATGGGGAGTTTGAATTGTGAAATTAAGTGAAATACAATAGCATAAAATGCATGTTGGTGAAGCTGGGACCAGTAAGACTGCCTGCTGTAAACTAAGAATAATCCTTGGTACAGTTTAGGAAGAGAAAGATTGGGTGAATTTGCTTATGGCTGTGTCATTATGAGTCATCTAAATAATGATGCAGACGTCTAAATAATGAGGAGTGAATCCTGATATGTCAGAATAAGTGTCTTCAGTGAGGATAGGAAGGTATTAATGTCATAAGGTGCTAGCAAGGCTCCATGTGGAACACTGCTGTGCACTTCCCATCAGTCATATTCAGGGAAGTTGAATTAAAACTGGAAACCGGTGCGGAGAGGGCTGGTGAGATAATGATGGGAATGGAGTGCTCGTGTCACAGGAGGGATGTAAACAACAGTGGTTTATTTCTCTGGAAAAACAAGGGCTCAGAAGGGAAGTTTGTTCTCTGTAAATATATGAAAGGGTAAGCACTGCAGTGAAAGAGTGTGACTTCAGTAAAAGAGCACTGGCACGTAATACAATATAAATTACCCATTAGTAAATTTAGACTGAAAAGAGAAATAAAGTGATGACAACATGGTGTAGCTTGAAAAATCTTAGATCTGCTTTTCTCCAGTGATATGTTAGATAGTGGTCATTTACTTGATTGAGTGTAGCTTCTCAGCAAAGACTGCAATAATATGAAAGCCCATTAAAAAGATTGTACTAGCTATGAGATAAAACTTGTTTGTTTTTAAACAAGAGGTTTGTTTTTTGTTATCTACTTCTCATATGCAGTGGTAAGTTTAGGGTAATAACATTATAGACATGCATTTAAGCTCTTGGGCTGTTCAGACTTCAATTAATTAATTTTGAATTGATTTGGATTTGAATTCTGATGAAGATAAGTCCACACAGCACTGACAATTCATAGCATAAGTGACAAAACACCAGCATATGGAATAATTCCTTTTTAAAAAAAGGACTTTTAGGGCTTTAAAAAATGTTCCCTATCCTAAGTGCACAAAAAGCTGTACATTAGTGACAGATCTAAGGACTAGTCTAGCTGGGTGGGGATTTTTTCGTCTTACTTATTTGAAAGGGCATGTTAGGTATTTTTTAACAAATAAGTTATCAAACATCAGAATATTTTCAGTGCTGAAGTATTAGTCTGATTCTTCATACTGAATTAAAAATTGACTGTCAGCATTAGGAGGGGCTGCATTTCTGGGGGCGTGGGTGTCAAATCTCTGTCTTTGATTATTAGGTACAGTGCTTCGTGAACTTCTGAATGGTATCTTTGAACAAGCTGCCAAATTGTTCAGCTGCTTTGGCTTCCATGGAAAGGTTTGATGAATGAGGGTCACTAAGCCAATGTTAGTTCAAATAAAAGACTTTTTGGTATATGGTGAGACGTTTGTGTTGCAGCAAATGCTATCAATATTCACCCAATTTATTTTTTCTGTTTGGTGTGTGCATGCATTTGGATGGTTATAAATATGGATGGCTTTCCACCATTCACAAATGACAAGATGCTATTTTACTTTAAAATTTCTGTTCTCCTCAGTGCACAGCAAGGATATAGCTCTTCAGAAATTTTATTTTACTTCTTGCTTTTCCTTCCCTTTCTTTTTTTTTTTTTTTTTAATTATCTGCTAATATAACATCTGCTTGTTATATTTTTAAAGAACTAATGTGTTCCTCCCTTTATTCTCTTTTGCTGTCTTCCTCCCTATCTGTTTTTCTCCAAACTGCTGCTTTCATCCCTACTCCAACCAGCTTGACTTCCAGGTCAGTATTTTCTGCTCTCCTACTTAATGCTCCTTCCACAATGAAGGTTTTCATTGATGCTTCATTTATTTGGCAATTTTGATTTCAGAGAAATAACTTCTGTTTGTATTATGTTGTCTTTATTCTGCTTGTCCCTTCTGTGAAGTTTTTGGTCATTCCATTTCTAGATCAGAAACTTTACAGTAAGTGAATGCTTTTCTCAAAACTCTGTAAGAAAAAAATGTTAATTAACAACATATTCATATGTTGTTTTGTATGAAGATTTTTTTCTTTCAGTTTTGCTTCTATTATCTTTGTTTTGGGAGCTCAACACCGGGAGTAACATTTTTGGTAGATAAACCACCCAGTAGGAAGTGTATTGACCAATAACAGAGAGATTTTATACCTCAGATCAGAGACTTATTCTTAATACTTTGCCATCATCCCTTTTACTGTTATTGCAAAGGAGGAGTTGCAGTGGCTGTGAAGGTTTTAGCTGTTTGTGCTGGCCAGATTCTGGTGTCTGTATGTGTATGTTTTATATGCTGTGTTTGGATACAGCCTCACCTAGTCAGACTCCTGTTTCTCTTTCTTCCAGGTTTCAGATTAGTTTAGCTGGTGTTTGTGCTTACACACTGTTGGAGTAAACTTTTCAAGTATTACTACGTGGCCTGTGGTGCTTGTCGAAAGTAAAAATTGATCTAGTTGACATTTTTTTCTCTTATTAGGCCTTGATATTAATTTTCTTTCTCATGCTTATGAATGGGTGAAAATTTTAAGATAGCAAAGTCTTAAAACGTGTACTTGGTATTTTTATAAACTAGTAACTGTATATTGTTTGGATGATGGAGTCATCATTATCAAAGTTAAAGGAGGGTATATACTGCAAAAACTTTGCAGATGTATTTCAGCTTCCTCTGTGTTGCATTTGCCAACATGGTTCCAGGTTGCCATGCAGCACATTTGACTTGAATCATGACAGATGTCCAATCTGCCTTTATGATATGTTCGGTTAGGAAGTTTTCATATTTTTTCCTCTCAATATATAATTTTAGCACAGTGTTTTCTATTCATATAGGAGGAGAGCTTGGGAGAACTTGGGAGAGTTTTGGTTTCTTAGTCTCAAAACTGAGCACAGTTCACATTTCATGGTTCAGAAAAGTCAGAAGTTTCTGACATGGATGTCTTTGAACTGTATGGCAAAAGATGGTTCATTATGAAAAGACTGACAAGACAAGAGTTTTTTTTTCCTGCTGTGCCTTGATGCACATCACAACTGCAAGTTTCTTTTCAGATGAAAAAAATTTGTTTTGGAAATTTGAGGCTTATCGACTGAAGTAATGAATTGGATGAACACCTTTTTTTTATTGTCTATCTACTACAAGCACATTTTGATCTGCTTGAATGGATAGTTATCACACCTGGATTATGAAAATACTTCAACAGGTTTTTCGGAATGTTTCTTTCTTCCAGAATTTAATTAAATGCATTTACCCTGGAGTTGGCTATGATGAAATTATTGTCTGAATGTAACCACTCTGCATTTCAGAGAATACCCAACATTGATGGAAAAATCTCTCTAGCCTGAGAGAGCTTAAAGAAAGGTATTATGCTATGTGGTTGTCATTATGGTTGATTTCACTGGAATTCAATGATTGGTATGCAGAAACATTTGTTCAGCAGTTGGAGGTGCAATTTCTGTTATGTTTTATTGACCTAAAAAACCAGCTGACCTCGTTGAAGCAAACTGTCCTCATAACCCTGCCAACTTTCATCCCTAGAGTCTTGGATAAGTTGTAGCGTATGATTAGAGTTTATTGTGGGAATTCAGTGAAGTGTTAAGTTTTCGCAGCTTGAATCTTCACTGAGGTCAAAACATAATTTAAGAGACAGATCTATTAATTTTGGTGATTTCTGCTGATCAGTATGTTCTTAGCTGTTATTTTATTTGTCCATATTTATATGAGGTTATGATGATTAGAAAAATGCTGGATCCGTTTTACTAACATGGTGGGCTGTTGATACTGGTGACAGACAAGAAAATCCAATACATTGGCATAATCCTGCCCTGTGCACCTGCCTATACAAAACAAGAATATTCTGAGCACAACAGGCAGTACAATGACATCCCCTCGTCCCCTGCCTTTAGGTTACATCAGGTTATACACTCCCCAAGCCTGTCCACCTGCAGATAAAGAGGAGATGGATATTTTTTCCATGTGTAATATACTGACCAGTGCTAGAAAGTTTCCCACCAGCCTCTGATGTTGGCCTTCCTAATTGTTTCCGTGGGAGGCTGGGGCTCAGTGACATGTGTAAGGCCCTTGCCTTTAAGGGAGTTTAAGGGAGTTTTAAATTTAACTTACGAGCCGTCCACAGTTTTGTCAAATGTCAGTTTGATGGTTCCAAGGGCAGAGTGATATGTTGTTCAAAGATAATTTCCCTGGAGAAATTGAGATAGTGTACTACTGAAAACTGAGAGAATCTGTGATATACATTACTCTTCTGAGAGACTGGTTATTCTGAGTGAGAAACATAGTTGTCACACTGGATAACAGGCAGATTGTTGACATGTCTTTCTGTTATAGTCTGTTTGCTATGTGTACAGAACCAGCATTTTAGCATTTAAACATTTAGAAAGAGATGACAATTTGAGTAGGGATTATTTAGATTTATCTGATTACGTGAGTGGTTTTGAATTTTTGAATTCGTAATTAGATTTTTAAATTTAATTTTATTTAAGAAATAGTAAAGTAGAAATTTTATTTCCTCGAAATTCTATTTTCTTAAGAAAAAAGTTTAAATTAATAATGTATTATGAAATAAGCAGAAATCATAGTGATTAAAAATAAAAAGATATAAACAGGATCCTGGGACAAGATGATGTGTCATTGTTCATTTGCATCCCACTCACTACTGAGTCTGCTCGGTTCTATACTTTCCCTTTCAGTTTGCTTAAAGGCATGCAGAGGTTAAAATAATAGAAATGGATTATTTAAATAAGGAAGGATATTTTGTAATTTCTTAGTGATTTGATTTTTTTGGGATTTGATTTGGAGTGTAAATACTCTACTGAAGCAAATGGATATACAGTATGAACTGCATGTAAAAAGAGCCCTGTCTCTCTGAAGGAAAAATATCCACTTTGGATTGGGTTGGATGTGACACCACAACTCTGGGGAAGAGAGAACACAAGGAACTGGTACTCCTTCCATTTCATGGTTAGTGGTTTCAAGACACAGTAATATTTCTTATTCCCTAATCTTCGTTCGCGAAGCCTAGCCATGAATATTTCTTATGCTTCTCCAGACCTGCTGCCTGCACTAGTTTTCCCCGGGGGGAAGATCCACAGAGCATATTCCTTTACCTCTTGAACGTGTGAATAAAGCAGCCCCAGAGTGCTCTGGGGAGTTGGTGCCTGCCTGGGTGCAGTGCTGTCAGGATTCCCTGTGTGCAGTGCAGGGGTGTGTGAGTGAAGAATCATTGTGAGATAGCACAACTCGCCCTCAAAAAGCTGTGACTGAAAAGAGACAGGGGAACTAAATTTAGGAATCGGGCTGTTGGTGGGACCACTTCTCCCACTTTCCCATTGTTTCCTTTCACAATGCAGGAGCGACATGCCTGGGCAACATGATTGTGACTGGATTGAAGTGCTCTGATCTGAATTTATAATAAGGGGAAGTTAGTATGTCTAAACAAGAAATCATACAGAGTGTACCTGATTTATTTGGAGGTCTGAAGAAGTTACTGCAAAAGCATGGAAAGCTTGATTTATGTATTGAATGATAATGGCTGGATTGATCCTGAGAACTTCTAGGGTGAGCCAGGAGTTGCAGTCAAAAGATTTGATTCAGAAGGAAATTGCAATGAATCATGGAGTGCTGCAGAGGAGGTGTGATCCTGATTGCTGTCAGGCTGAGCTGGACATGCTGCGGAGCAGTTGGATGCAGAGAAAAACTGGACAGAGTCAGGAGGTGGTGGGGCATTTTTTGCCTTTTTTTTTTTGTTTGTTTCTGTGGGGATGTTTTATTTGTTTTGTTGGCTTTTTAAAGAAAAAAAAGCTTTCCTGGATTACAGCTGGAAAGGACTTGATGGATCAGTAGCAGGATTGCAACTCCTTAGTTGCAGATTTCAGGCAACAGACTATTTCCAGTTGCTGGTTACAGTTATTGCTAATGGTCTCAATTAATAAAATAGCTGAGCAAGCAATTGCCATATTAAATCAGATCAAATATCCTTCTCATCTAGTGCCCTGTCATCAGCAGTATTTTATTTTATTTTTTTTTTAAAAAGAACATCAGAAGAAAAGACCCAACCATCCTGGGTGTACAAGAGAGATGTGTGACAGATGAGTCTTCTGGTATGAATTTCACACATGTTCATGTAAAGTGTCATCCAGTAAGAATGTGCTGAGGAAGACTGTAGTGCAACGCACTGTGTTGGAGTTTCAGTGGTTGCAGTGCAGATAAGTGTTGAAACAAAGTGACATGAACCATAGTTTGGAACAGGATTTTAGTACGTCTTTTTCATTCATGCATTATCCTCACGTGGATATTTGGAGCATCTCTCCAGGGCTTTGGAGGGAACTGTGTCAGACTAAACACTTCTTAAATAAAGATTTTGGAAAATTTCCCAGATTGTGTGTTAGGTAAACCCTTCCTCCCCACATTTTTGTCTTTGAGGTGAGAAATGTTTCAGTGACTTCTGTGACACTTGCTTTATTTCTACCAGGCAGAGTTGTTGGACAACAATACTGTTTTGTGGTGCATCTGGGGGCAAAATTGTTGTCACACTGAAGCACTGTCATAATATCAGTCCTAGGAGATCTGAAAGTAGCCTTCAAACAGTTGAAATACTAAGATTTAAAGGGTGGGGCTGGGGGAAGAAGAATTAAAAAAAAAGGTTATTTGACTTTGTGGCTTTTTAATTATTATTATTATTAATGCAGCAATAGGATCGATTTCTGGTTTTTTGAGACCTATAGATCTCCGTGGGCTGCAAGCCTGCTCCCTTGAGTAAAA